GTGAATAGGTAGGTTTGAGAAAACCATTGTCTAACAGATGCTTAATTATGGGTTTAAGTCCCCATAAATGTTTGGGAGCTATAGAATATTGGGGAATGCAAAGAAAAACTATAGAATCCCTGAGACAAATTAAACAGGCATAGCATGGGTAGTGCAGGTGGTGCTGGAGGTGTCTCAAATGATGGAATAAACCAGGGAAGAAGGGAAAGGAGAGATGGCTTTATAGTGCATTGTGATGGTATTTGGAGGATGTGAGCTGTGGAGAGGGAGAAGGTAAAGAAGTTAAGGTTTTGGAGAGATTCTTACCTAAAAGCGATGTGGGACATGTTGGTATTATCCGAAAGCTCTGGGTGAAGAAGAGAGTTTGGAACCTGCATGGAGTGGGGCCTGTTTGAAGAGGCTGTGTATGTTGGCTGTCAACACCCACAATGGAGGCTGAGAATTTAATATAATGGCATGAAAACTCAGGAAGAACACTATACATGGCCTCCGTGTCTACAAGTACAGAGAATGTCTTACCTGAGGCCTCCAGTGAGCCTTGGGACTCTGAGAAGGATACCTTAATGGGGGCTGTTGGCCCTGAGCCCCATCAGTCTTCAGCAGAAGCCCAAGTAGATCAGCCAGTGATGAATCCAGTGGTAATAAGATCTCCTGTGAGGGCAAGGAGTTAGAGGATGGCTTACCCACTCTCTGGCGGCTAGAACAATCACTCTTCCAATGGGCCTTGAGATTGCAGAAGTGACATTCTCTTGCCCAGTGTCATTTTTTTTCACACTTGAAGTGTGGTCCAGAAGGGGCCCGGGCAGCTCCATCTTGTCTTGGTTTACCTGTCTTAGAGCTCCTAGTGTCACTGCTAAAATGTCAGATTGTTATTTTTCCTCCTTTTGATTTGAGAGGGTTTCATTATGCAGTTCAGGCTGGCCTTGAACTCACTTTGTAGCCCAGGCTGACATTGAAATCACAGTGATCCTTCTACCTCAGCCTAAAAAATGCTGAGATTATGGGGGTAAACTACTAAGCCTCGCCTCCATTGCCAATTTAATTTTATGATTTCCAACATGTTGCATAAGTCATATCATATACTGTACAATCTATCAGGACTGAATTCACATAATTCTAATGCTCAAGTTCTTTTTATGAATTAGTACTCATTTTGATTGTCAAATATTGTTTTTGTTTTGTTTTTCCGGTACTGGGGATTGAACTCACGACCTCATGCTTACCAAGCAAACACTTGAGCCACTGAGCTAAATCCCCAGCCTTCAAATAATGTATTTTTAAATTAAAAAAAAATTTTTTTTTTTTTTTTTGGTCTTTTTCGTTTTTATCGGTACCAGGGATCGAACTCATGACTGCCTGCTTGCAAGGCAGGCTCTTATGCTGCTGAGCTAAATCCCCAGCCCCTTATTTTTAAAAAATTTTTTGTCTCTTTGAGACAGAGTTTCACTATGCAGTTCAGGCTGCCTTAAACTTTGTAGCCTAGGCTAGCCTCAAATTTACAGCAATCCTCCTGCTTCAACCTCCAGAGTGCTGGAATTACAGGTGTGTGCCACTACACCCACCTTTAAACACTGTACTTTGGAATTGAATACTTATTGCACAATTTAATGGTTCTCCCATTGAAAGACTTTTGCATTGTTTCTAGTTTTGGGCAAATAGACCTTCTAAAAATATGTGTTGGAAAGGTCTATTTGCCCAAAACCAGAAACGATGCAAAGGTATAGGCAACTAATTTGAAGGCAATAAGATTCACAAAGATGCCCATTCTGGTTTGACTATTGTCTCCTTTGGAAGTCCTGCAATGTTCACAATGCCTAAGTTTTATTGGTCTTGCTCTCCACTGTTTTGTCCAACTTTATAATATCTAATGAGATAGACAATTCCTTTTAAGGAAACAAGAGACAATGTTGATAACCATTGTTGATGACCTTGTACTCTGTTCTACATCATGTGCTATGTCTATCCTTGGTTTGGACTTACAGCTTTGTTTTGCCATATTTGACTTTATTATCTCCCCCCCAAGAGAGTAATGAGAACTGAGGAGTAATAAAATCCAAAATGTGTAAATTTTGTTATAAAAAAGAGAGGGAGGGAAAAAAAAAAAGAGCTCTAACGGATATAACAACAAGTGTGTTTAGGGATGTTAAATAGCTGACTATATTAATGTTTTTGGATCATTGAACACAGCTGTTTGCAGTCTCTCCGTTTGAATGTCTACTTTGTATTCTTTGATACTGTGATTTGAGCAACTATTTCCAAGATGATATTATGTAATCTATTAACAGGTGATTTCTTACTGTTATGTTTATTTTTTTTTTGTAGTTCTGTATTATGTGTAACCTTACACTGCTTTGTCTTGTTTTGTGTTTTTCTCTCTTTCCTCTTAAATAAAAAAAAAAAAAAAAAAAAAAAAAAAAAAAAAAAGTCCAGGTGTGGTGGTGCATGCCTGTAATCTCAGCACTTGGAAGACTATGGCAGGAGGATCTGTGCAAGGTTGAGACCAGCCTGAGCTACAAAGTGAGTTCAAAGTCAGCCTGAACTACGTAGTGAGACCTGTCTCAAAAAGACCAAAAAAAAAAAAAAGTGTGTTCTTTCATTCTTTACTCTGAGGACATTCCCTGGAGTATAATTGCTGGGTTTTACTGTAGTTGCACTCCTCCACCCCATGCATTAGTACGTTGATCATGTTTATCATACAGAATTTGTACCTGTACGTAATTTGGGGGGGGGGTACTGTGGATTGAAGTCACGATCTTGTGCTTAGCATACAAGCATTTGAGTCACTGAGCTAAATCCCTAGCCCTGTACATAATATATCTTGCTGCTTTTTTCCCCATTCCCCTTCTTTCAACCACTCTTTCCCTTATTATTATTTTTCTTTCTTTCCCTTGTTATTTACAAAAGTTTTGTTCCTATTTTTTCTTTTCTTGTCCCTTCCTTTCTCTCATCCAGTTTGCCTTCTCATTTGAACATTATCTATCCATTTTTCAATATCTGTTATACATTTGGTCCTTATTTACACTTTTGATTTCTCACACCAAAGAAACATTGCAGTATTTATTTCATTATTTATTTGGCAGAGGTTGGTGGGGAGTACCAGGGATCAAACTCACAACCATGCTGCTGAGCAAAATTTCTAGCCCCTATTTATTTATTATATTTTGGTACTGGGGATTAAACTCATGACCTCATGCTTCCCATGTAGGTGCTTATGCCACTGAGCTAAATCCCCAACTTTTTTTTAATAGTGCAATATTTGAACATATGTCTGATTTATCTCACGTAACAGTATGGTCTCAGGGTATCCATTTAATTACAAGTGTCTCAGGTGTATCCTTCTTTTTTTTTGTTTTTATTGGTACCGGGGATTGAACTCACGACTGCCTGCTTGCAAGGTAGGTGCTTATGCCGCTGAGCTAAATCCCCAGCCCCAGGTTTATCCTACTTTATGGAAGAGTAGTTCTCCGTTGTTTACTAGATTTAGGTGTTACAAACTGTGCTGCTATAAAAATGGGTGTGCATATGTCACTGAGGTACGATGCTTTTAATACTTTCAGGAAGATACAAAGAAAGGGAGTAGTTGGATCAAATGGAACTTCTAGCTTTAATTCTTTGAGGAATCTCCACACTGATTTTCACAGTGGTTACAATAAAAAGGTTGCCTTGGTTTTTTTTTTTTTGTTTGTTTGTTTTTTTGAGGCAGAATCTTGCAGTGCAACCCAGGCTGTCCTTGAACTTGCAGAGGTTTTCCTGCCTCAGTCTCCTGAGTGCTGAGGTGTAAGGCCTGCTCTTTTATGTCTTCTGGGATAGGGATACTGATGAGTCAAAATAAGGCTTTCCTTCCCCTGAGACTAGAAAAGATTGCCCACAGAAAAGAATTTGGGAGGATTTAAATATTCAGTGTATCCTTAATAAAAGGGACATAATTTTTTCCCTCTCCATCGCTGACCCAAATTCCTGAGCACATAAGAAATGAAAGTCCAGATGGTTTTGAGCTATTCAATCTTGAATAGCTCACCCCTGGGGGTGTAGCTTCGTGGTACAGCTACAAAAATGCTCACTATGTGTGAGATTCTGAGTTTGACTCCCAACACCTCAAAACAAATTGTTTTTTGTATTTTGTAGAGGTTCAATTGTTTTTCAAACTTGATTTTTCAAAACTGGATTGCCAGTATACAAAATCCAATCTACTATTGGGGGCTAGAGATCAAACCCAGAGTCTCAAATGCTAAGAGCTCTACCACTGAGCTATCTCTATCCACAAGCTCAACATTTTTATATTTGTGAAAAAAATTTTTTTAATGTTCTTTTTTTTTTTGGCACCAGGGATCGAACTCATGACTGTGCGCTTGCCAAGCAGGCACTTATGCCACTGAGCTAAATCCCTGTCAGAAAAAAAATTTTTTTAGAAACTCCTAAGCATAATTATCATTTCTGTGAAGAATATTTCTGAAATTATGAAACACTGAAGCTATGCTTAATCTTAATAATTATATATGCTTTCTTAGATATTTAAAAATACATAAGTATAAATTTTGTTTTCATTATATGTATATTCACAATTTGCTATTAAGGTTTTCTTGTTTTTGTTTTTCTCCATGTTCTCTTTCTTAAAGCTACTCATATACATTATGTGTCTTCTTATTTATTTTCATTAAGCTATACATTTATGAGGTTTTTTTTTTTTTTTGTCTTTTTGAGACAGGGTCTCATTATGCAGTTCAAACTGGTCTTGAACTAACAAGGATCCTCTTGCCTCAGCCCCCAAGTTCTGGGATTACAGACATGCAGCACTACACCTGGCTCAGAGATGTCTTAATGTTACTTATGTAGGAATGGCTAATAAGGCCAAATAATTCAAAGCCATCAATAAAAAATGTTAAATAGAATAAAGGCGATAAAGTCATAGACATTTCCAGAACTATCTTTTATTGGTTCTATGAATCTGAGGAAATGTTAACTGCTCAGGGTGATCTTGGGTGCCTAAAAGGACATTCTCTTCCCCCCTCCACAATACAGTTTCTCTTCTTTTTTACTTGGTGTTCCTTTTTTCGAGGCAATTTACCTTTATCAAACACACTGCGTATTTTAGTAGATTCAAGGGCTGTGTTCCAAAAGTCGCTCTGATTTATTCACTGGTAACTTCTAATTGAATGTGACAAACAAAATACACTTAAAAAATCCAGAAATTGTCTACTGCTTTGAATGACTATTCAATATCTGGATTTCTCAGTGGCACAGACACAGAACATTAATTGTAGTAACTTTTTTTTTTTTTGATTTTTTTTCCTCCAGCCCTTTCCTCCTTTAACACAGCAAGTAAACTTTGCTGTTCTGAGGGTAGCCTCCATCTATTAACCTTTTGATCAGTGAAGAGATTTTAGAGAAAGTACAACTAATCAGCAGTAGAGGGGGAGGTAGGGGAGGGAACTAAGCTGTTGCCTCCACGGTGCATTCCCGGGCTATATGTCCAGCCTCTCCACAGCGGTAGCAGTTGACTTCGCTTGCCTTGTTGCAGCTCATGGCCATATGGCCGGTCTCACCACACCGGTAGCACCTGACTTGTGCACAGTCTTTTTGGATGTGCCCCGATTCACCGCAAGTGTAGCACTTCTGCACTTTTCGTTGGTCACAGTCTCGAGCCAGGTGGCCTGGTCTACTGCAGGTGTAACAGCATTGTTCTTTTTGTTGTTTAGGCTCAGGACAGTCTTTGGCGATGTGGCCACTTTTCCCGCAGCTGTAGCAGATGTCCTGGAGGTCACAATTCTTGGCATAGTGACCAGCTGCACCACAGCGATAACAGATGTCAGACTGGCTGGCAGAACTGCACTGTGGACCGCTGTCACTGCTTCTAAATCCTCTTTGGCGAGCTCCTCCCTTAGGGCATTCCCGGGCCCAGTGACCATTGCGTCCACACTTGAAGCATTCTTTACCGCTCATGGCTGCGGGTAAGATCTTCCGAGGAGCTCGCCCACCCTCCGCTACCACACAGGACCCAAGTGGCTCTAGTGTGGCCTACATGGAAATAGCCCTTTGCCTCTAAGGGCCTCTATGACATCACAGGAGGCTTGCCCCGGGCCTCTTTCACAGGTGTTCCTTTCCTTTTACTTAAGAAACTAAAAGTGCAATAATCTTTAACTAGTGTTGTTTCCCTTGTTTGTTTTCAACATTTGTGTCATAAAATTTGAGTTTGAATCCGTTCTTGTTCAGAATATTGTGATGTGTAGCATTTCTAAGAGTTTGGCTGGCTTAGGGACGCAGCTCAGCGGTATAACACATGAGCAAGATTCTGGTTTCCGCAGCCTAGCACCACCATTTAAAAAAAAAAAAAAAAAAAAAAAAAAAGGCTTGCGGTGCATCCCTGTAATTCCAGCACTCTAGGAGTGAGACAGGAGCACTAGAAGTTCAAGCCCAACCTTTAAAGGCTCGTGTGTCTGTGTGTGTGTGTGTGTAGGGAATGAACCCAAGGCCTTCACACACTGAGGTACTTCCACAGCCTCCTTATTTTGTGTTGTTTTGTTGTTCTTTATTAAACAGCAGTTTCTGCATCTTTTTTTCTTTTTCGTTTTTTTTGTTGGTACCAGGGATCGAACTCACGACCTGCTTGCAAGGCAGGTGCTTATGCCGCTGAGCTAAATCCCCAGCCCCTGCATATTTGTTTTTAAAATTATTCTTTAGAATTTGTAAAACGAGGCACAACAGGAAAAAAAAAAAAAAAACAACAACAACAACAACAAAAAACCAGGCCCACTAAATCTGGAGAGAGGCAGAGAAGGCCAAATCAAAGCTATTAAGCTTTTAAGGTAAGCTATTAAGATTTTAAGGTAAGCTATTAAGGCTAACAGGGAGGGGCTGGGGATTTAGCTCAGGGGCATAAGCACCTGCCTTGCAAGCAGGGGGTCGTGAGTTTAATCACCGGTACTCATAAGATAAAACAAAAAAACCCTGTCTATTTTGTGGGCTGGGGATTTAGCTCAGTGGCATGAGCGCCTGCCTGGCAAGCATGAGTTCGGTCCCAGGTACTGCCCCCCCCCCCAAAAAAAAAAGGATAACAGGGAATAAACGGTAATGAGACTTTTCACTGGAATGGTGAGCTAGAAAGAGTGAAAAAGGGATTGACGAAAGAAAGATGAGCTGAGGATAGGATGATTTGTAGAGGCTAGTAAGAACCAGGTAAATGGAATGATAGAAGAATTAGGGACCTGAGTACTGGAGAAGGGTTGAAGGCATGTGGATGGTTAAAGGTCAGATTCCTAGAAGCTCAGGCATAGGGGTGGGGAAGTGCGCAGCGCATGCGCCGAAAGCTCAGCGGGGCTCGGCGCAGCCAAAAGTTGGCGGGCTTTGGCTTCAGTGCTGTGGCTTCAGTGCTGTGGCTAGAGACACCGCAGATTTTTCTATCTGCTGCTGCCATCCAGACAGTTCTGTTTGTTCCGTCGCTCTCTCCACACTGCTTTGGGACTTCCGGCTCTAAGAATCGTCGCCACATTTGACTCAGGTAAAGGAACGACATAGGGCCAGGACAGAACATGGAGGGCGGCCGAGGAAACTCGGGCCAGAGACAACCTTAATTTGTGCATTCTCCGGTTCATGGGAGAAAAAGATGGGGGCCAGAATAGGCCCCAGGCCTCCAAAAGGATACTAAGCATTTACTTACCATTGCGAAAAGATAAATTTTTCCTCCATGCGGGGTCGAGGCACCAGACCATGTATTTTACGTACCGTTCTGTTTAAAGTTGGGGTTCGTCATTTGTAGTAGCTTTAGGATTGGGCTCATCTCATGCTTTTGTTCAGGTTCAGGGATGCTGCTACATTATATGAATCCGAGGGTACACTGGCCCCTCCCTTGGTTTCAGGAGGATCTGGAATATGATCCGATCGTCCACAGCGCCTTTTTGCATATCAGTTTATAATATCCAGTCGTACTAGGGAAGGCTGCTTACGACTGATTTTGGGCATTGAGGCCCTACTGTGGCAAGAAGCACATCCAGATATCATCAGGCGTATAAAGTTATAAAGTAGCAGGAGTGGGGAGAATAAGGAGGATTTGCAGGGTCTGCCTCGTATTTGAGGGAACTGGGGCGGGGGACGCAGCACAGAGTGAAGGCGATTTTTTTCTTTTTTTAGAAGGCCTGATGTAAAGGGAGGGGACTTCCGTTTCTCGGAAAGGAGGCGCACAGCAGCAAGGCTTGGGTTGAGGGCTATGGAAAAGGGAAAGACAAACAGGCATGGAAATGGACAAAATTACTCTGGCAATTGGCTGAGGGAGGCGCGCATGCGTATTTGAGACAATATGGTGCCTGTTGAGCCAGTGGTAGGGAGGGAGCGTCGCATGTTCGTATTTCAGATGGAATGCCTGAGCTGTTAGGAAGGGAGGTGGGCATTTATGGGTAATTAAAATTACAAAATGGTGAGGGAATTGCCAGTAAATTATTTTGGGCCAGCAAGGTATGTGGAGAAGCGGATCTATGTTTCAATTTGGTGAGGGGAATTGTCCTAGGCAGTGGTCAAATCACTGTGAATTAACCCAGAATAGGTCTCTCGCTGGCGTATCAATAACATGAGTTTAAAAATGCAGAGGAGGAAGCCGGACATGGTAGTCTGTGCTAGTAGAGAGGCTGAGGTAGAAGGATTGCGGTTCGAGCCTAGTCTGAGCAATTTAGCTATTTAGCGATAACCTGCCTCAGAAAATGCCGACTCTAAAAGATGGCTGTGTATAAGAAATGTGTGAAAAGCACTTAGATATCCGCCACATTCAGGTAGTACACATTGAAAGAGCTCTCCGAATCTGACTTGGCTTTATTGGGCAACTGTACTTGGAGGTGCAAGAATACAGTGGTTGCATTGTGAGAATCTGTTATGTTGGCTGAAACCCCTTGATTTTCTCGCTTCAAGAGCCTAAGGGTGAGGACTTGGCTTTGTTTGCAAATGCTTGTTACACTTGGAAGCAGGGTTTTGTGTGAATGGCTGGCTGGGACTCAAACTGTAATCAGCACTGCAAAATGCAATTTTAAAAGTTAGTTTTTTTTGTTTTTTAAGAGACAAGCAACTTCTCCAAACTTACTTCTCTCTCTCTTTCTCTCGCTCTCTCTGCACATTTACCTTTGAGCATATAGCCAACAACACCCCCTACCTACTCTCATCTCAAAAGAAGAAACAGTTTATGCAGATACCAGCCCTAGGAGACTTGGACCCTGGTTTCCTTTTCACTAGAAGATGATGAGCTGAAGATCTATGAAAGTGATAAGGCAAGTGTGAAGATCTACATTATCTCTGTGTTCCCCTGTGCTCTGCTCTTACTATGAAAGACCCTCACTCATCTATAAACCCTGAGATGGGGATTTGAGGCAAATAGGCCCCTCCATCTTCTGGGAGCAAGATTTAAATAAATCCTTTTTCCTTGTTACCCAAATATGTTGCCTTAGCTGAATGTGGTGGAACACACATGTAATCACAGCATGCAGGAGGTTGAGGCAGGAGGATCACCAGGAGTTCAAGGCCAACCTGCACAACATAAGGAGACCCTGTCTCAGGAGCAAACAAACAGCCAGGGATATGGCTCAGTGGCACAAGTGCCTGCCTGGCAAGTACAAGGTCCTTAGTTTGATTCCTGGTACCCAAAAAACAAAAACAAAACAGACTAGTATCTATAAAAAAGCTGAAGGGGACACATTAATCTGTGTGACATTTTACAGCCAATTAAATAGCTGAGGCTGGATTTTTATACAAGTAATATGTCTCCAGAATTCTTTGCTTCTAAGCATCATGTTTTATCCCTAAAATAAGGGAGGACATTTGAAATCTTTGTTTAGAATTTCCAGTTTTGTTTGAAGTCATAAAACTCACCTAAGCCACTAAGAAAAGCAGACCATTTTACTGCTTGACTCAATACTGCTTGACTCAGTACCTATCTGGTTGTAACCTATCTGGTTGCATGTATAGGATACAAAAAGTAAAGAATTGTTGATTCAGCAGTTCCTGGGGTAGCTAAGTGGCTGTCACCTACCTTTGTGTCCACAGTTGCTTCTTTTTTTTTTTCCTTTAGAGGGAGAGTCTAAAATGGCCTACTACAGCAGGCTGCACACACCCAATTTTGTTTTTACCTGTTTTTACAAGTTGACAGCCATTTTTTAGCAAAGTAGAGTTATTAAATCCTTTGTTAATATTTTTGCATGTTGATCCAGTAGTCTGACAAGGTAATATTACTGCTTTTTTTCTTGTAATCAAAGACTAAAAGACTCATATTTGGTTAGAATGCATTCACTGAAGTGGAATTATTACATCAAAGAGTATATACCTTTCTAGTGTTCAGTATATTGCCAACTTTCTTCCCAAAAAGTTTGTACCAATTTTTACACACGTGAGTGATTTGTTTTAAGCTTTTTTTTTTTCTCTGTATGATTCCATTCATATGAAATGATCAGAATAGGTAAATCCATAGTGACTGAGGCAAAATCAATGGTTGTCAGGAAGTAAAGAAGCAGGAATGAGAAGTTTCGCTGGGGATGATGGAAATGTTCTAAAATTAGATAGCAATGATAGTTGTACAACAAATGTGAATAGGCTAATGTACTAGGTTTGATTAAAAAACATACAGTGCATGTTTATTTTAAGAAATGTATTACAGTAAAAGACACAAGACCATTAAATTCCCTTGAAATACCCATCTTGCTTCCAGCACGTTTATCTCATCATCTTTGTCATTTTCTTAAGCAGTTCTGCAAGTCCTCTTTCATGAATGTCTTTAGTTGCACTGGTGAGACTACCTGAACATTTCCTTTTCAGGATCATTTCAACTTTGACATAGCAAGAGGTTGTATGATACCAGATCTGTAAATAAGGTGAATGAGGACACACTTCGATTTTTTTCAGCACCCTGCCTTTCCTTTGGTGATAGTTTTACTAGGTTTTGGGGTGCTGGAATCTCCTTCTGGAGGTGTTTTCTGATTTTTTTGTCCTCAATTCATAAATACTTCTGTTAAGCGTTCAACAGAATTATACTTTGTTCCTAACTCTGAATTGGGTGATACACCCTAAAGCAGTGGTGGTGAACTTTATGACACATATGTTAATTTGTTTTTGTTTTAAAACAAGAAATGTAAATGTATGAGTTGTTGTTTCTAAAGTAAAACCTCAGCTGGGCATAGTGGCACATGTCTGTAATCCCAGCACTTGGGAGGAGTTCAAGTTCAGCGAGGGCTACACAGTGAGTTCAAGACAGCCTAAACTATGTAGTGAGACCCTGTCTCAAAAAACAAAACAAGGGCTGGATGTGGTGGCACATGTCTGTAATCTCAGCAACCTGGAGCTGAAGCAGGAGGATTGCATTGAGTTTGAGGCCAGTGTAAGCTACATAGTAAATTCAAGGCTACCCTGGACTACACAGCGAGATCCTGTCTCCAAACCAAACCAAACCCTCAATATTTAGGTTTAGTTGCAATGTTGGTACTTTGTGATAAATAAATGGATTTTGGGTTGCAGTTTGGCTACTTGCCTCTTAAAGTTCACCATTACTGCCCTACACCTATACAAAAGAGAATACAGTGGCCAAAAAAACTTTTTTTATTTATCAGAGTGCTAACTGAGATTACAGCCATGTGTCACCATGCCCAGTCCCAAAATTTTTTTTTTTTTTTTTGGTATTGGGAGTTGAACTCACAACCTCATGCTTTCCAAGCAGGTGCTATGCCACTGAGCTATATCCATGGCCCCTAAAAAACTTATTTTTATGAATAAAAACTAGTACTATTAATTTTTGGGTTGTGAGATTGGATTTGTTTCTGTATGTTTCTTGATACTTTTATTTTTTCATGTAATAATAGTTCGGGTATTATACAAGTTTCTGTTGGAAGTTTTTTATTTTGTATTTTTGAGACAGGATATTGTTATCTATTGGTATCTATACCTATTACTGACCCTGAATTCACTATGACCTTAAACTCATGGAGATTCTCCTGTCTCAGCTTCCTGAGTGCTGGGTTTACAAGTGTGTGCCACCGTACTCTAGTGTGTTGGAGTTCTTAAATTCACCATTTATTGTTATAATATGTTCTGTAAATAAAGACTGTTACTCACATTGTATCTAATGTTTTAAGTTCTCCTACTTTTAAGTTATTTCTTTTTTTGTGTGCCGGGTATCAAACTCAAGAACTCAGGCTTGGCGGGAGGTGTACTATGTTGCTGAGCTATATCCTTGGCCCTGGTTACTTCATAATTTTTTTTTAAATTTTATTTTTTTATCAGTACTGGGGATCGAACTCATGACTGCCTGCTTGCAAGGCAGGTGCTTATGCCGCTGAGCTAAATCCCCAGCCCCGGTTACTTCATAGTTTAAAAAAATTATTATCGTTTATGTTTAAAATTTTTGGTTAGTAGATATTTGAGATCATTTTCTGCTATTCTTCCATTAAGTTTGAATAGCTGTCTCAAACTAGAAATTAGAGAAATTGCATTCCACCATTGTCTGATGACAATCATCAAGTTTGTTTTATTTTTTTAGTTTCATTATGTAGTTCAGGCTGGCCTCATTCATGGCTATCCTCCTGCTTTAGCCTCCCCACTGCTAGGATGCAGGCATGTATCACCATGCTTGGCTCGATAATCATCAAGTATGGGGGAAAATTTCAGCACCCAGAGATAATGAGCATTAATAAATACATAAATAAAATTTTAAAAATAAAAAATCAGTTTTTATTATTTATTCTCTGAATTTTTTCTTTTTCTGAATTTTCGTATATAAGTGATCATATCTATCTATCTATCTATCTATATATATATATACACTAATTTATTTTTTGTGTTTATCATAGTAGCATGCTTATTACCATGTTAAATATTCTTATAATTGTCATTTACTGGTTTCATGATATTTTGTTATGGATTTTCAGTATTTTGATTTATATAATGTTTTTCAACTATTTTGGGTTATAGAATTCTAGAATTGAATTGTTTGTTAGAAGTTTTGAGCATTGTAAATATTTGCCTTAATTACTTTCTAAAAATATCAATTATTGCATCCATTTAGCTACTTAATTTTTTTTCATTTCTGCTAATTTAACGTGTAGAAGAATGATCTTTGTTTTTGGATACATTTCTCTAATTGTTGGTAACGCTGGACTTTCAGATATTTATTTGATGCTAGGGATTGAACCTGGGTTCTCCTGGAAAATCTCACTTATTAGCTCTTATTTTGTTTTGTGGTTATTCAATTTGTGATATTATTTATTTGTAAATTACAGATGTCATTTCTTGCAAATGTCCGTCTTGTGTTTGTTGCCACTGAGTCTAAAGAAATGTTTGTGATTCCTAAGACAATTGTTGAACGAGACCTAGTGGCACAGGCCTATAATCCCAGTGCTCTGGGAGGTTGAGGCAGGATAATTACATATTCTGTCCCAATTGGGGCAGTTTAGAGACTTCATCTAGATCCTGTCTCAATTAAAAATAAGTAAATAAATGAAAACTGAGCATATAGCTCAGTGTGAAGACCCAGAGCCACGAACAAAGAAGCAAAAATAACTTCTGTGGGATATGTGTCTTTTTTGTTTGTTTGTTTGCTTGTTTATTTTTTTTGTTGTTGTTGTTGTTTTTTTTTTTTTTTTTTTGAGATGAGGTCTTACTATGTAGTTCAGGCTGGCCTTGAAGTTGAGACAATCCAGTCTCAGTCTCCTCAGTGCTGGGATTGCAGGTGTGTGTCACCACACCTGGCTACATGTCTGGTTCTTGGTAACCATTTTGAGATGATGTTTGTGTGTCTTTTAAATAGATAGCCATTACTTTTTATCTATAAGGAAAGCATTTTTCCTAAAAGGAAAGCGCCACATAAGTGCTACTCCCTGGGTGGGAGCATGGAAAGAAGACATGGCAACGTTTTATCTCTAATAAAGCAACTAGAGAAGAAACAAAATGGCTGTCCTCCCTCCCCATCCATTCATGCGCTAATCTTATTTTAAACTTTTATGAGTAATCTGAGGAAAGATACAGCTGATGGTATCATGGTGAAATTGTCCACATTTATAGGTAATGCTGAGTGCGTTACTTTTTTTTGCAGTGCTCCTATGGAATCCAGGCTCTCTTGCATACTAGGCAAGTGCTTATCCACTGAGCCATGTTTCTAGCATCACAATGTGGAATGTTAATAGGAACAAAGGGCAACATCTGAGAAGGCATTCTGAGTGGTATGACAACTGGCAGAATGGAACAGTGTAGGCCAGAACAGAATAATGAGTTTAGGGGAACAGAGTATGTTAAGCTTATAAAATAGTGGCCTCATGGTGATATGGGGTCCCAGAACAGGAATCTCTGTAATTGCCAACAAATTATTGATGTCATTTGCCCAATTTGCTGGAGCATAGATGAGATAACCATTAAAAATTCAAGCCTTCTTAAGAATGGCATGGGACACAGAAAAATTCAGTTCTATCTTTGTATAAAATTGTCTGTCCCAAATAACTTTACAGTGATAATCTTTCCTTAAAGAGTCTCTGTCACCCAGTTTTGAAAAAAGGGAGTAAGGAGAATGTATTACCTGTGTCATTTTTCTTTCACAATACCTGTTACACATTTTGATCCTTACTTATACTTTCAGTTTCTCTCACCAGCGAATGTGGTATTTACACATATGACTGATTTATTTCACTTAAGAATATGGTCTCAAGGTGCATACATTTACCTAGAAAAGTCTCAAGCTTATCCTTCTTTATGCAGAGTAGAACTCCATTGGATAATGTTTCAGTGCCGGGGATTGAACTCATGACCAATTGCTTGCAAGGCAGGTACTTATGCCGCTGAGCTAAATCCCCAGCCCCTATTTTCTAGTTGGTTATGTGTAGGTGAATTAGCTATTCTTAGAGATTTGAGGTTTCTTATTCTGTTTTCCTGAAACTGTATCTGTTATTTCTGTTTCATAGTCTGTTTAATTATGTTTATTGAATAGATCCTCGTACTTATTATTCCTACTTTATGATCCATCTGTTCTCTATTTTGCCTTTAAAATAAAATTGTAATTGTATTTTTTTAGTAGAGAGTGGAGATTATTTGATTTAGAGATACCAAGTAAGCTGAATTAATTTTTGTAGTTGTAAACTTGTGCTTCTCACCATTTTTCTAGGTGTAGATACTAAACCAGGCTTGTGTGTAGTGAGGTGTGGAGGTTGAGAGGTGTATAAGTGAGAAGGAAAATGAAAGCTTGTATTTTAGAAGAGGTGATTGGGAACTGCCTCTTTGGAGATCAGTGCCTAGTTTAAGCTTGGCGGCCCATTTTACATCATACCAATGTCTATTTCCCAAATCTATCTGTGACCATGGATTAGGGAGAGCCTGTGTATTTCAAATAGCTAAAACGCATTTAACATTTTGATTTTTTACAGTTTCTTTTACTTCTCTCTCTTTAGCACAAGGTCTCACCTTGTAGTTCAGGATGCCTTTGAACTCACTATATAGCCCAGGTTGGCACTGAATTTGTTGTCACACTCATAGCTCAACCTCCCCAGTGATGGGATTATAGGAGTGCAAAGCGACGCTGGACTGGTATTCCGCCACTCTCTTCATGTAACAGCCAGCAGTATCCTGAAGCAGCACCCTTTGGAAAGATATTTTACATAGGCCTTTATAATACAACCTGATAAGTGTTATAACACTTACCAGATTGTATTGTAATTGTCTGTGTATATATCTGTCTATCTTCCTATGTAGACTGTAAGCTCCTCGAGGGCAGGAATGGTATCTTCATTGCTAGAGCTCAGCCTGGCACATTAGTAGGCCACAGTACATGTTTATTGGATGAATAAATGAATGAGTCATCAACAGACATTTATTGTGTGCTTGCTAAAGTGATCTCCACAGGCCCTGGACTGCTAACTGTTTAAAATTCATGTGATTGGAAACTTGATACTTCTTTTTAGTTACATAGATATCTGCACAAGTTACTTTTAAAAATTTTAATTTATATGTTTTTATTTTTTCGTATGGTGATCAAACTCTTGACCTAGCACTTGCCAGGCAGGTGCTTATGCCACTGAGCTAAATTCCCAGCTATGTTTTTAATTTTTATTAGTACGTGTTTATAGTACCACTGATTAATTGTGGAAAGTTGGTCATGCACATAACACCTCTTAATTCTTCTTTCTTTTTTTTTTTTAATCGGTATCTGGGATCGAAGTCATGACTGTGTGCTTGCAAGGCAGGCACTTATGCCGCTGAGCTAAATCCCCAGCCCACCTCTCAATTCTTAATTTCCTTCCCCTCTCCTCACTCCCTCCATCTCTTGCTCCCCATTCTTTTTGCACAAAAGACCTATTTCTCTGTTTTCTATTATCTTTTATTTTGCTTGTTAACTTATTTATATTTTGGGTTTCTCATAGGGAAATTATGCTATATTTAGCTTGTATGTCTTGATTTATTTCACTTAAAATTATGGTGTCAAGGTGGATCAATTTCCCTACAAATGACTCAAGTTTTGTCTCTGTTTGTTTTGAGACAGGATATCCCAATGTTATTCAGGCTAGCTGGAACTCACTATGTGGCTCAGGTTGGCCTGGAATTTATGATAATCCTCCTGCCTCAGCCACCTGAGTGCAGGGATTATAGGCATGTGCCCCCATGACCAGTTTAAATTTATCTTTCTTTATAGCAGAGTAGTCTAACATTGCATACAAGTACCAGTTGTTTTTAATCCATTCATCTGTTGATGGACATATAGGCCACTTCCAAAATTTAGCTATTAAGAACTGTGCTGCTAAAAACATGAGTATGTGTGTATTACTGTAATATGATGTCTTTAACTCTTTGGGGAAGATGCCTAGAAGGAGTATACCTGGATCAGATGGAATTTTTGTTTTGTTTTTTGAGAGTCTTGTTATGTGGTCTACGCTGGCCTGGAACTCACAACTATCTTTCTGCCTCAGCCTCTCGTGCTTGAATTACAAGCATTGAATTACAAGCATTTGCCACTATATCTGCTTTGGAATTTCTACTTCTAGTATTGAAATTTAAAAAAAAATATTTTGTTTTATGAGGAACCTCGATAATTATTTCCATAGTGATTATATTATTTTACATTCCCACCAAGAATAGAAGGGCTCCATTTTCCCTGTAGCCTCACCAGCATTTTTTATTTGATTTCTCGATGATCGTTCTTTCTGCAGTAAAGTGGAATCTCGGTGTTCTTTTAATTTACATTTTTCTTTTCTTTCTTTCTTTTTCTTTTCTTTTTTTTTTTTTTGGTGCCAGGGATTGAACTCATGACCTCACATTTACCAAGCAGGCACTTGCACCACTGAGCTAAACCCCAGCCCCTAATTTACATTATTTTACCAGGCATAAATGTTTAACATTCTTTTATGTGTCTGTTGGCCATTTGTACTTTTTTCTGAGATAGGGTCTAGCTATCTAGTTTAGGCTTGTTTTGAATTCAGTGTTGTATAGCATAGGTAGGTCTCAGATTTGGAGCAGTCCTCCTGCCTTAACCTCTGTAATGCAAAGATTATAGGTGTGTGCCACCATACCTGGCTGATTTATTGAGTTCTCTCTTTTTTTGGTCTTTTTGAGACAGGGTTTCACTGTGTAGTTCAGGCTGCACTCACTTTGTACTCACTTTGTAGCCCAGACTGGCCTCAAATTCACAGCAATTCTCCAGCCTTAGCCTTCCGAGTACTGGCATTACAGGCATGCTGCACTACACCTTGCCTGGTCTATACATTTCAATTGTCGATTTTTTAATTCTTTTATTTTGTTATATATTCTAGATATTAGTGTTTTTTTTTAAACTATGAAGTAAATTCTTTTATTTCTTTTTTCCTCAAATTCATTTTATTCAACCATAAAAAGAAAGAAAAAAGAATAAGAAGCAAAAAACTACAATGAAATTTGAAAGCATGTCAATCAGGGGTTAGCAATGGTACATACATTGTGCATTGTCATCCCTAAATCATTCACCCAGAGCACAAGACATCTGCCTTCAATTGTTTGAACAATAACAGTGTGTTTCTCTTCAGCAAACTCAGAGAAATCAATAGTATAATTATCTTTATTGTAATATAAACATGAATGTTTTTTTCTTTCAGCTTGTCACACTAATGAAACAATTCAATGTTTATACATGTGTCTTTATTTCACTAATGAGTGTGTTCTCAACATGCATCCATTTACCTATGAAAGTGTCCAATATATCATTCTTTATGGCTGAGTAGTATTCCATTGCATAAAAATATGACATGTTTGTCTATCCCTCAGTTGATGCGCATTTAGGTTGTTTCCCAGATCTGGCTATTATAAACTGTGCCGTTTTAGCATGGGTGTACGTGTATCACTTTGCCATGATGTTCTTAATTCTTTTGGGAGGATGCCCAGAAGAGGAATAGCTGAGTTGAATGGGACCACCAATTCTGGTCTTTTGAGGAGTCTCCACACTGATTACCACAGTGGTTGCATCAGTTTGCATTCCCACCAACAGGGGAGAAGGGTTCCTTTTTTCCCACAGCCCCTCCAGCATTTGTTATTGCTTGATTTCTTGATATTAGCCATCCTTTCTGGGATGAGTAGAGTCTCAGTGTTGTTAATTTGCATCTCTCTTCTTTTTCTCATCTAGCACTGCCGGATTGATTTCTTATAGTCCATAACTAGTTTTGATAAATCTTTTATTTTCCCTGAGACTAACTGCAAGCCTGTTTTCAATATCTGGTATCCTATTTTTACGCTGGCCTAATCTGCTTCCAGTCCTCAGAATGGAGTTTTTATTCTCCTGGATATCTGCTTGAATCTGCTTTACGGATTCCCTTTGATTCCTCTGCTGCACTTCCATGTCATTTATTTTTGTTTTTTGTTTGTGTCTGCTCTAACATCACTAAGCATGGTGTATATTTTGGCAATCTCTGTAGTAATTTGAGAGATTATTTCTGATTTCATTTTTTCCAGAGCCTCATTCAATTATGTAGTTGTTACCACTTGAGAGAGACCTGGTGGGGGCTTTCAGATTGTCCCACCTCGTTGCCCCTGGGTTTGTGTTTGGTGAACTGTATGTCTGGGGTTGTATCTTGCTTATGTGTCTTCTAATTTCTTTTCTTTTTTAGTTTAATTCCTGAGATGATGCTTGTAAGTTGCCTATGATGGGTTACTTTGTTAGTGATACTTAGGACAGTTAGGTGATGATTAATTCTCTGAGGTATCTTCCAGGTATAGCTAGTTTTTGGGTTTCCGAGTCTGTTGGAAGATTGTATCTGTTCAGTTTGTTGGAGAGGCGAAGTTGTTGCTCATTTGGCCTTGTCCCTGGTTCTTTGTCATTGTGCTGCAGAATTTCCTGTGATCCTTCGTTAATCTCAATCATGGATTATCAGGGCCAATGGCTGTTTAGAACAATTATGTCAATTTTGGCTGTAGTAATACCAGTATCATCAAACATAGCCTAAAAAAACCACAAACTGAGCTAACTCTTTATTAATTTGCAACTTTTAACTGTATGAACTAGATTTGTGATTATATAAGAAAATGTAAAACATACCAGATAATTAAGTGCAATATGTAAGTCTGTAATGTTTCAGTTTTGCCCTCGGGGTTAAAATTTACAATAGATTAAAGACAAAATAGAGAATTGGAAAAAGAGAAATAGATTACAAGTAAGTTTGGAGGACAAAGATGGATCCCACCAATTTGGGGAAGCTGATACATAGAAGACTGAAAGAAAAGAAGTGGGAGAGAAAAGGAAGAACAAAACAAAACCACACCCACAGAGAGGTTAGGAACCAGTCTTACACTGAGGAAAAAAAAAAAATGAAAGAGAAAGAGAAATAAAAAAACCCCAACTGAATAAAACAAAACAAAATAAACCAACAAACAAGAAAATAAAACAAAACAAAAAAACCAAATAGTCCACTTCCAGGCTTTTCTCTGGGTCTACTAGTAGCCTGTGGAGACAGCATCCTGAATTGTGTCACTGTATCCCTGCAAGCTAGCCATTGCTTTATGCTGGAGTAGGAGATAACCTTAGCAGGCCTACCCTGAGACCAGACTCATTGGGCTTGCTGCAGTCCAACCAGTTTCCACTGGTCTGAGCCCAGCTAGGACCTGCTGGAGGAAGCTGGCAGCAGTTCTGGTTCAGCGCTTATCTGACCGGACTCCAGAGTGGCTCCCAGCCAGTAGCGCTCTCCTGTGGGAGGACTGAGTCCTCTGTACTCATTGCTAGCCAGTACAGTCCTCCACATCTGCTGCTCCCCTCCACTGCTCCACTGCATCTCTCTGCAGAGTCCTCTGGGGTTGCCAGTGGCCACTGTCACTGTAAAGGTGTGTCCCCAGGTTCCAACAGGTCCTGTTGTGCAGTGAGTCTGGCTCTGGATGAAGGCGCCATCAGCTACTGCCTTCTTTTGTTGAAGTTTTTCTTTTTACTCTCTCTCTGGGCTTCAGTTCACACTTCAGAATCTTCCTGGGTCTAGGAGACCAGCTTCTTTCCTTGCCTTCCTCATGATGCTACTATATTCCAGCATCTGGATGATGCCTCTCAGACAACCTGTTTTTTCTGCTGCTTACTGCTCTGTCATCTTCCTACGTATAGTCTTCTGAGGAATAGCTGCAAAAATATTTCCTATTCTGTAAGTTTTATATTCACTGGGTTGTATCCTTTGATGAGCAGAAGCTTTTTAACTTGATATAATCCTGTTTATTGGTTTTTTTTTTTTTGTTCATTGTCTGTTTGTATTTTTGAGTCAGAGTCTCATTATATAGAATAGGCAGGCCTTAAACTCACTATGTAATCCAGGCTGGCCTTGAATTTGGGGTGATCTTTCTTTAGTCTTCCAAGTATTGGACATGTGCCACCATATCCAGGTACTTTTATTGATTCTTGATGTTTCTTGTGCAGTTGGGGTTGCCTTCAGAAAGTCTTGCCTATGCCTATGTCTTCAGGAGTTTTAGCTATTACATCTTCCAGCAGTTTGTGTTTCTGTTTTAACAATTTTATCTTTGACATATTTTGATTTTAGTTTCTTTCTTATACATATTCCTTTTATTTCTTTCTCTTGCCTGATTGCTCTGACTAATGTTTGGCATATTCTGTTGAACAGATATTGGACATCCTGCTCTGAATCCTGATTTCAGAGGGAAAGATTTTGGCTTCTCTCTATTTAGTATGATGTTTGCAATAGGTTTATAATGAATGGCTCCTATGAGATTGAGACAAGCTCCTTTATACCTATTTTCTTTAGCCTTCTTATCATGAATGAATGTTTGATATTGTCAGACTTCTGCATCTATTGAGATAATCATGTGATTTCTGTCTTTGCCTCTCTTGATGGGATATATTACATTTACTGATTTGTTTGCATCCCTGGAATAAAGCCTACACAGTCATGATGTGTCACCTTTTTGATGATTCATTGCATTCTGTTTGTTAGTATCTTGGAGGAGTTTTTTGTCTATATTCATTAAAGAGATCAGCTTTTTTATGAGTTTAACAATAAATCTGTCAACTCTTGGGCTTTTCTTTTTTTTTTGGTCTTTTTCCTTTTTATTGGTACTGGGAATCGAACTCATGACTGCCTGCTTGCAAGGCAGGCGCTTATGCCAAGCTAAATCCCGAGCCCCTTCTTGGGTTTTTCTTATTTGGGAAATTTTTAACTACTGGTTCAGTTTCACTGCCTGTTTGTTATTCAGGGTTTTTATGTTTTCTTGGTTTTGGTAATCTACATGTATCTAGGAATCTATCCATTTCTTTTGGATTCTCTGGTTCATTGGAGTATAGGTTTTCAAAATTGTTCCTAAGAATCTTTTGGGCTTGGTTGGTATCTTACTGTGATTTCACATTTTCATTTCTTTTTTATCTTAACTTTAAGGAGAAAAAATGAAATTTCAAACATGACAAATAGAGAGTAACAATACATATTATTATCTTCAAATCAGTTACTTAGTACAAGACATCTACATTTAATTGTTCAACCATACTAGCACAAACGTTTCTCTTCAATGAGCTCATAGATATCAATAGTATAACTCTTAACTGTATATATACATACATATGCATATATATAGTTTCAGCTGTTCTCACTAATGAGACAATATGATCTTTACACATGTGTGTCTCTGTCTCATGAGTATGGTCTCAAATTACATCCATTGACTTACAAAAGTCTCAAGTTTATCCTTTATGGCTGAGTAGTACCCCTCTGCATAAAAATATGACATGTTTTTTATTCATTCCTCAATTGATGGGTGTTTAGATTGTTTCCAAGATCTAGCTATTGCAAATTGTGCTGCTGTGAACATGGGTACACACATAACACTATGGTATGATGTTTTTAATTCTTCAGGGAAGATACCCGGAAGGAGAATAGTTGGGTCAGATGGGACCGCCAATTCTAGTTTATTGAGGAATCTCCACACTAAATGTCAGAGCGGTTGCATCAGTGTACACTTTCACCAACAGTGGAGAAGGGTTCATTTTTTCCTCACAGTCCCTCCAGCGTTTGTTATTGCTTCATTTCTTGACACTAGCCATCCTTTCTGGGTGAGGTGGAATCTCAGTATTGTTTTTAACTTGTATCTCTCAAATGACCAGTGATGTTGAACATTTTTTCATTTATTTCTTTACTGTTTGTAGTTCTTCATCTGAGAAGTGTGTATTCATCTCAGCTGCCCGTATTTGGGTTGAGTCTTTAAACTGAGGAGGACTGATTTTTTTTTTTTTGAGTTCTTGATATGTTCGTGATAGTAATCTTTTGTCTGAGGAACAGCTGACAAACATTTTCTCTCACATGGTGGATTGTCTCCTTACTCTGTTGGTGGCTTCTCTTGCTGTGCAAAAGCTTTTTATTTAATAAGATGAGATCCTATTGAATGTTTGTGACAGTTCTCATGAAATTGGGATCTTGTTCATAAAACCTTTGCCTACGCCAGTGTCTTCAAGAGTTTTACCTAGGCTATAAATCTGTAGGAAGATGGAGTAGGTAAAACTCTTGAAGACATTTTCACTTCTTACTAAATTGATTAGTAAGATTGTTTTCAAGACTTTGGAAAGTCTTTCCAAGACTTGTTTAGATTATTTCCAAGATATAGCTATTACAAATTGTGCTGCTATGAACAAAGGTACACACAAGTCTTTTTTGTTTTGTTTTGGTAAGATTGGCTAACAATTTGTTGCATTTTGTTCTTTCAAAAAAACCTAATCTTTGATTCATTGGTTCTTTGTAATTTTTTTTGTTTATTCTTTCAAAAAAACCTAATCTTTGATTCATTGATTCTTTGTATTTTTTTAGTTTCAATGTCATTAATTTATGCTCCGATCTTTATAATTTTGTTTCTTGTACTAGCTTCACATATGGATCATTCTTGTTCCAGGATGTAGAACTGCATCAATAGGTTATTTATTTAGACCTCTGTCTTTCTAATGTCATTCACAGCTATAAAGTATCCTTTCAGGACCACTTTCATTATGCTTCAGAGGTTCTGGCATAGTGTAGTGGCATTACTGCATGATTGTAGGGACTGATTTCCTTTTTTATTTCTTCTGTGAGTCATTGATTATTCAAGAGTATATTGTATAATTTCCTTGTGTTTGCATAGTTTGTGTGGTTTCTTTTGTCATTGATTTCTAGTTTCATTGCTTTATGCTCTGATAATACGCATGGGATAATTTTGTTTCATTTGCATTTACTTAAGCATTTACTTAATAGGCTTAAATGTGGTCTATTTTTGAGAAAGTTTCATGTGTTGCTGAGAAGAATGTTTATCTTGCTGTTGAGTAGAATACTCTGCAGATATCAAGGGCTGGAGAGCACAAATTATAAACTGACTTTTCCAGACTTGTTCTTGTTCTGCCTTTGAGCCAGGTTGGGATGCAGAACACCCACCCCTTTTTTTTGGTCACAGCTGGAAGCCTTATGGGCTAATGGCTGCTCTGCTCCTCACAGGGCAAGATAAGACTTGCTGGAGACCATAAGCATCTGGGGGAAACTACAGTTTCTTCACCCCTCACCCCCATCCTTGTCCTTGCAAGAGTGCTTTGTTCTTCTTACTAGCCCACCCTAGTCACCATTACTGTTCCTAGAAACACTCACTGCCCTTCACCCATTGTCCTTGACTTAGAGGTAATGCATAAACACCAAGTTCTTTGCTTGTGTTCCCCACCAACAACTGATGATCCTAGATCCCTGCTTGTACTCCTGTTTTGTCTCTCGATCTCTTTCTTCTAGCCACACACCATAACTCCAGGTATGTGACTGGGGACTCACAGCAAAGATCCCTGGCAATTGGCATCTTGTAAGGGTCTCCAGTACTTAAGTATGGTTGTTCTTTTTGTTACTACTTTGTCTAGTTGATGTATTTGTGGCAATGGGGTATTGAGGTCTTCCACTACAGTTGTGTTGATGTTTATATATTATGTTCACTAATATTTGTTTTATGAAGTTGAATGTGGTGGTATTTGGTACATACATTTTTACATTTATTATCTCTTTCTGTTGAATTGTCCCTTGAAGCAATAGGCTGTGACATTCTCTGCCTCTTCTGTTAAGTTATGCCTTGAAGCCCACTTTGTTTGAAAGTAGGATATCTATTCCTGCTTGTTTTCAAGCTCCTGTTGCATGGAATATGGTTTTCTATCTCTTCATTTTTAATCTATGAATGTCCTTTGAATTGAATATGATTCTTATATACAGTATACTGTTGGGTTTTGTTTTTTAATTCTGTCAATTTTTATCCTTTGGGGACCAAAAGTTATTGAGTTATTCCTCTCATTGAATTATTATTTTGATGCAGATTTTCTTTTTTGCTTTCTGTTTAAGTGCTTATCCTGCTGGGTATATTCATTGTATTACACTTCTTGGATTTGTTGGCTTTAGAGTCTCTGGAAATCTTTGTAATTTTTTGGAGGGCTCATTTGGTGGTTTTGAATTTTTTTTTTTTTTGTCTTTTTCATTTTTATCGGTACTGGGGATCGAACTCACCACCACCTGCTTGCAAGGCAGGTACTTATGCCGCTGAGCTAAATCCCCAGCCCCCGGTGGTTTTGAATTTTTAAAGGTACTGTTTGTCATATTTCTCTATCCACTTTGAAAGATAATTTTTCTTGATATATTAGTCTTGGTGAGAAGCCTGCTTGCTTGCTTTGCTGCTTTCTTTCTTTTTTTGTTTTGTTTTTTTGGTACTGGGGATCAAACTCATGACCTAGCGCTTGCCAGGCAGGCGCTTATGCTGCTGACCTAAATCCCTGGCCCCTCCCTTTTTTTTTTTTAATTTGGAAGAGAATAAAACCAAATAAAATAAAACAGAATTGAGTCAATCAAAACAAAATGATGAACATGGTACATGACTTTAAAACAAAATACAAAGAATCAATAATGGCTACCATAATGCCTCTTATTATTTCCAAAAGAATTGCTCATACCGTCAGGCATAATAAAATCAAACAAAATAGTACAAAATAAAACCAATAAAAATACAAAGTAATGGAAACAGTACAGGACTTCAAACCACGATAATAATGAAACCACAATGGATACCATAGTGCATCTTGTTATTTTCAAAGTAGTTGCCTATACCATCAGACATGGTGCAATCAAACAAAGCCAAATAGAATAAATTCAGTCAAAACAGAACAATGAAAGCAATAAAGGGCTTCAAACAAGCTAATACAAAATCAAAAATGGTTATCATAATATATTTTATTATCTTTTAAATACTTATACGTGCCATCAAATATGAACTTAGACAAATTGAAATAGAATAAAACTGAACTAAACAGAACAATGAAAACTATGGCTTTCAAACCATGATAATAGATTAACACTTCCCTTTTTAGACTCTTCTTCCCCTTTCACTTTCACAGAATGTGTTGTGCATTTTGAATCCTGCTAACTCCTTTAGTTTTTATACTAAGGAGACAACACCCTATTCACCCATGTGACTCTGACCATTTCACCCACGAGTATGATCTCAAATTGTATCTATATACCTACAAAAGCCTCAAGGTTATCTTTCTTTATAGCTGAGTAGCTTTCCATTGTTTAAAACTGCCATGACTTTCTTGTCCACTCTGCAGTTGGGCAAGCTACCCCTACTTCTTTCTGGTTCTCTGTCACATAGAGCATTTTTCTCTCTCCTTTGACTTTCAGTCTGTGAACCTGCTTTTGGATTAAATATGTTTCTTGTATAAAGCATATTGATATACCCTGTCTCTTGATGCACTTTGCCTGTGTTTCTTTTTATTGGTCAATTGAGGCCATCTATATTAGTGATTATGGCCAACACGCACTGCTTCATCTCTGCCATGCTATTTTCCTGCCATTGGCTTAGTACTTTCCCCCTCTATTCCATTGTCTGCCTTGCTTGGTGAGCGTCCTGTGCCACTGTTCCTGGAACTATGGTCTTTTATTTATTTATTTATTTATTTATTTATTTATTTTTAATCTCTCTCTAGAGAGAGTTCTTCAGTATCTTTTGTAGGGTTGGTTTGGTAGTCACATTCCTTCAGTTGTTGTTTGTCAAAGTATCTTGTTTCTCCATTAATTTTTTTATTTAAAGAGAAAAAACAAAAAAGGTAAAAATAATACATAATTTTAAAAAAATAAACAGTAAGAAATCACTAGTTGATAAATTACATATTGTTCTCTTAGAAATAGTTGTTCAAGTTACAAAAGTAAAGCATGCAAAGTGGACATTCAAACAGTGAGATTGTGAACAGTTCTGTTCAACAATCCAACAAAAACTTAGTAATATGGTTATCAATCCTACACACTTAGACATACATGCAGTTATATCCTTTAGAGCACTTTCTTTTCCTCACTTTTTTACAATAGCAATTACACATTTTAGGTTTTATTACTCCTACAGTTCTTATTTCTTTTTACACTAGAGACACAATGTGATGTTTATAAATACGATTCTTATTTTACTTATGAGGATTGTTTCAAGTTGTCTCCATTTGCCTTAAGATCATCCTTTTTATAGCTGAGTAATATTCCATCGTAGAAAAATGCCACATCTTTTCTCATATACTCTGTGGCTGTGGAGCATCTTGGTTGTTTCCAAGATTTAGCTATTAGAAATTGTGCTGCTATGAACATAGGTGCACATATATCACTGTGATATGACCTTTTCAGTTTTTCTGGGAAAATACCCAGGAGGGGAATAGCTGGGTTCAATGGAACTTCCAGTCCTAGTCTTCTGAGAATTCTTCATACTGATTTCCATAGTGGTTGCACTAGTCTCCATCAGTTTTGGAAGATAATTTTTCAGGGTACATCAATCTGGGATGGAAGTTGTTTTCTTTCAGGACTTGAAATATTTCACTCTAAGCTCTTCTTGATTGGATGGTTTGTGTTGAGAAGTCTGCCAAGATTCTGATGAGTTTTCCTTTATAGGTGATCTGTTTCTTTTCTCTAACAGCTTTTAATGTTCTGTTCTTATGTTGAATTTGTGGGTTCTTGATTATTATATGTCTGGGTGTAGATTTATTTTGGTTATGGCTAGCTGGAATTCTATATGCCTCACTTATCTGAGTATCATTTGCTTTTCCTATGCTCCGGAAGTTTTCTGAATTTATTTCTGTAAATAGACTTTTAATGTTGTTCGTGTTGTCTCTTTTTACCTCACATTTATTATTCTTAAGTTATGTTTCTTTTGTTTGTCTTGCAGCCATTGAACTGTTACTTCCTGGTTCCTTGTTACTTTTTAGGAGATCTTTCCTTTCATGATCACAAGCTGCAATCCTATCTTAAAGGTTTGAAAACCTATCATTAGTTTCTTTCAAGTGGTTTTGACAGCTTTCAATGGACTTTTTAATTTCCTGGAAAACTCTTTGAATCTCTTTCATGTATTCTAAGTTTTTTGTATTCATTCAAGGTTTCCCTCATTTTCTATGCTCCTCTATTCTTTCATCTATGGCTTCTTTTGAGGTGCTTAGCAATTGTTTCATTATGTTTTTCATTTCTTTTTTTTTTTTATCTGAGATAGTATTTCTGTTTTAATTTCTTTTGTAGCCTCATGAAGTTGTTTTTTTACTTCAGATACCATTGCTTCAGAAACTTAAGGTATGTAACTTGTGATCTCTTCACTGTTCACATCTCCTGGGCCAGATCTGCTTGGGTTGGAGGCCAGAGACTGCCTTTTGCTTCTTCATTTTGACATATTCCTCGGTTCTTTCAGGCTAGTAGGTAGTGTGGTCCCAGGCACTTCCTTGTTGGCTACAATTTCTCTGAAGCGAGACTGTTTGATTCTTCCAGTCAGTGCTGGCTACTAGTACCTGACGGTGACCCAATGGTATGCTGGTGTGCTGGTGCAGGACTGCTGCTTTTCCCAGCCTGCTTTGGCTAGCCAGTGGCTGTTGGAGTCTACGCAGAGGCAGGGCTGGCCCACTGTCTCCTAGCTAGTTATCTTCACGGATTGACAGAGTGTGCGTGCTTGCAGGGGGGGTGGGGGGGGGCGTGTTACAGATGGGGAACCTGCTTTTGGAGTACACACAAGGGCAGGGCTCAGTCCAAGCAATTTCTACCAGTTTGCTTCCAGCTAGGAGCTGCTGGAGGGAGCAGGCTGCAGCTCTGGTTCTGGGCTTATCCTGCCCAAGTTCAAAATGGTTCCCAGCCAATTGCTTTCTCCCTTGGGAGAAGTGAACCCTCTGCACTAACCACCAGCCAGTGCAGTCTTTACATCCAGGAGCCGGAATCCTTTTTTTTTTTTTTTTTTTTTAAATTTTTTTGTCTTTTTCCTTTTTATCGGTACCAGGGATTGAACTCACGACTGCCTGCTTGCAAGGCAGGCGCTTATGCCGCTGAGCTAAATCCCCAGCCCCGGAATCCTTGTTTTTTATTGTCATCGTTTTTTACATTTTAGTACTGATTGAACCCACGGCCTCAGGAATATTGACAAATGACCTACCATTCGGCTACATCTCCAGCCCCATTTATAAAAGAAATTGATTTAAAATGGTGGTTTTGCTACGTTGCCCAGGCTCACCTTGAACTTGAAATCCTTCTCCACATCTTTCAGCTTTCCCTGTTAAATCTTGTATATGCATAATTATCCCTTCTGTATTCCCTCAACAACATAGGAGTGAATTGGTAATGCTCTTCCAGCTGAACCTTTCCCAGCAATTTTCTACTTTTTACATAAGGCAAATTACATACCTACTTTCTAGGAACCTTCTCACCATGTTGAGGGCAGATAGCAAGTACTTATACTGACTAGATCAATAGCTTCTATACCTAATGATTTTATATGTAGTGATTTTGGGCTGTCTGGGCTTTTAGGAAGAAGGCTTGGGAACCATTAATAATTCTTTCTTGCTTGCTTTTTTTCTTTGGTACCGGGGATTGAACTCATGACCTTGCACTTGCCAGGCAGGCACTTGTGCCACTGAACTAAAGCCTGGGTCCTCCATTAATATAATTCTGTTAACTGTTTAGAATTCTCTTCCCCAATAGTAGAAATTAAATTTTGCCATCTTTTTCTCAGTCTCTTGTGTAGCTGGGATTATAAATGTGTGCTATGGTACTCCACCCAGTTTCTTTGTACTCTTGTTGCATCACTGTTTATTTTCACAATACTCCATAACAGTCTTCATAAAAAAGAAAATACAACATGATGGACAGTTATATTAGAGGCACCTGAAGATGGTTTTAAAGTTATCTGCAAGGAAATGGTGTGTATAAGATTTTGAACCAGTTACTCCTATTGGTACTTTTGCCAATGTTAATTTAAATTTAAACATTATAGTATTGTATATGTCTGCAGGTTTCCTACCCCTTATTTGAAATATTTGGGGTTAGAAGTGGTTCACATTTCAGAATTTTTCAGGCTGTAGTTATTTACATAGACTGTTTTGGTTGATATTCCTGATCTGAAAATCTGATATTTAAAATATTCTTATTTGAATTTCAGAGTATTTTGAATTTTGAGATTAACTTTGTTTAACTTTGTTTTGACCTAGTCAGATCTATATTTTGTAGAACCTAATTTTGGAGTTAATCATTTCCTAAGCAACCCTTGTGAGGTCACACATATATTTAGTTGTTCTTATTCCTAGACATCATTTGTTTTAGTCACTAAATGTCTTTTTCCTTACCAGATTATAATATAGTTATCTGATTTGACTTCTTAACTCCTGTTAGAAATACTCTAACTAATTCGGTGAATGATTCTGAGCATAAGTTTCTTTTGTTCTGCTAGGTCTAGGTTTTTTTCTAGGTCTAGATTGTATTTGCTTGTCACATAAAGGGTTGGTTGGCTTCCTTCCTCCCTTGTGTATGCACACATGTACATCCACCAATATTTTTGAACAAAAGACAGACTTACAGTAAATAGACATTCAGAATTATTTTATTCATATTGTGTGTAATAGCAATGATATGTCTATACTTGAACCAGCAATGGAAAGTCTTTTGTGATCTGTGCCTTATGTGTATGACTAGTAGAATAATAATATAATCTTCATGGTTAATAGTAGTACCTCTTCAGAGGAACGTATTTGCCATGCATCTGTCTTTGCAGAGCTTAGAAGTGGCATTGTCTTCTCTTACTTGTTCTTCGTATCAGCCCTAGTGTTTACCTTCTTCACCGCATGTTTTCTACTTTACTTAGGCTCATAAGCAGATCTAGCTTTGGGATTATTTTAGTTATAGTCTTGATAAGGAGCTGTGATTTTGGTAATTTGCTGTCAATCCTAAATTTGGTTTCAGGATTTAGAGGAATTAATCCTTCAATTGAAAGGTGATCTGGGTAAAGGAACAGCTTTTTCATTCAGTCAGGTAAGTGATTGTTGAACATGAAAGCAAAATATTTTTCCTTGGCTTTTTAAAAGGTATATTTGTGGGCTGGGGATTTAGCTCAGTGGCATAAGCACCTGCCCAGCAAGCATGGGATCGTGAGTTTGATCCCTGGTACAAAAAAAAAAGTATATTTGTTGTATTTAACAGTTTTCTTAATAGTAAACCAACCTCATATTTCTGGAAGAAAATAGCCACTTTTAACAGATTTTGAATTATATTTACTAAATTTGCTATCTTAATTTAGTTTTTATTATACTTTGTTTATTAGTATTTTCTTTCTAAGTTTAAGTAAGAGTTTTAGGGGAGGAGGATGGCAGTCTTTGTCAGTTGGTGATGTTAGGGTAGTTGATGAAAATTAATGAAAAAAATTTTTTGTGTCTTTTGAAGACAGGGTCTCACTACACAGTTCAGGCTAGCCTTGGGCTTACTTTTTCTCCTAGGCTGGTCTTGAATTTGCAAGGATCTCCTGCCTCAGCCCTCCCAAGTGCTGAGATTATATGAGTATGCTACCATGCTTGGCTTTTTTTTTTTTTTTTTTTTTTCATCTTTTTGAGACAGGGTTTCACTATGCAGTACAAGCTGGCCTTAAATTCACTTTGTAGCCCAGGCTGACTTTGAACTCATAGTGATCCTCCTGCCTCAGACTCCCAAGTGCTGAGATTATAGGTGTGCACCACTGCACCTGGCCGTTGACTGTTCTTTTCAACCAGGCAGATCTCCAAGATATCCAATGGAATTAAACATACATTAATAATATTTTAAAATTGACTCAGAATATGCCATTCTAGGAATGTAAAATTTTAATTTTTGTCTGATTTTGGATTCTTGTTTCAGTTTCATCCATCCATTTATTCATTCATTCATTTTGGTGCTACAAGTTGAACCTAGGACTTCCTGCATGCTAAGCAAGCATTATACTACTGAGCTATATCCTCCAGCCTCTTTTAATAATTGTGTGCAAAAACACAGTGAACATTCTTGTAAGTAAATGATTGCATATCCATGTTTATCTTTTTTTTTTAAAGCAGAATATACTTATTAAGAGAAAGAAAGCCTCTGTGAGAGAGAGACAGAAGAAGTCCCAAGTGAGTTGCCTCCATGTTTATTTTTAAAGGTTGGATACAATATACAATCTCTAGTAGTAGGTATATGAATGTCCATTTATCTACACCCTCACCAGTATAATGCACTAAGATTTAAAAAAAATTGCTGGTTACAAAAGTAAAAAATGGTGTTTGCTATTTCAGCTTTTATTTCCTTGATTAGTAATGAACTGAAACAAAGAAAAATTTTGCTGTGTTTTTGTTTTTGAATTTCTTTTTCACATCGATTTTTTTTTTTTAATTATTGTACTATGAATTCATTCCAGGGCCTTGAGGCATGTTATGCAAGTACTTTACCACTGAGCTGTATACTTCTCTAATATTTTTTGATTTTGAGACAGTATCTCTCCAAGTTGCTCTTGCAGGCCTCAAACTTGAGCTCTTCCTATTTAATTATCTCAAATAGCCTTATTATTATCTTTCAATACAAATCCTATCCTATTGTAGATCTATTTGGTTTGTAGTATGGAACTAATTTTCTAAATATCCAGCACATTCAGGATATTAGAGATAAAGGTATTTGTGGGTATTTAAGTAGAGTTGCAGACTTTTTTCAGTGCTCTGCTTTTTTAAAACATGACTTAAATGTTCTATTTGCCACAGTTTCTCTACGTACCTTTTGAGTTTTTGCTTCTACTGGTTTATGCTCTGTGACAGGAATTGGGAAACTTTTTCTACATATGGCCTGACAGTAAATAGTTTTGGCTTTGTAGGCCATATGAATTCTCCCATTGTAGCATGAAAACAGTTCATGTAGATGATGCATAAATGAACATTGGATGGAGCTGTGTTCCAACAAAACTATTTAGAAAATAAGCCACTTACTGTAGTTTGCCAATACCTGCCTTAGGACATTTTACTCTTACAGCTTCTGCTCTTTCTTGATGTGGTCCCTGCTCCTGTAATTGCTACACTCTAAGGCTAAGGCAAGAGCATTGTGAGTTCAAGGTTAGCCTTTAGATGCATAGCAAGACCCTGTCTCAGAAAATCAACAAACAAACAAACAAAAAGAAAAATAGAAAAGAAAAAGTGTTTTCTACTTAGTTATAACCTTTCCTATAATCAAACTTGCGGCTAGAGGCAAATCTGAAGACTTTCAGGCTTCAAGGTGGAGACTGATATAGCCAGGCCTGACAACCTCCCTAAAGATTAACAGCAATTTGAGATTATACCATAATTAGCACCACCTGGCCTAATGAGCCCAGTAAAACATCAGACAGAGCGATGGGTGACCAGAACATCCAGATCCATACTCCTGTCCCTTTCTAGGGATGCCTTTGTTCTATGATTAGAAAAGTTATAGATAATGATGCTTGCCATATACATATTGTTTCCCTATTGGAACAATATTTGCTATGTGACTATACTTGTAATCTTATGAATTGATTATAGTTTAACCCACGTTGTACCCACGTTGTGATTTTGTTGTATAAAATACCCCTGACAAAGAGACTCAATGGTCATCCCCTCAGAATCCCTCCTGCAAAATTGAGAGCTATTCTACTACTTATTTCCAGGAAAATTCTCCTAAATTTCTTTGGGTTTCAGACTTCATTCCCTGATATCATGACATGAACTTGGCACATCCAACATCTTAATAGATTGGGAGTTGTTTTCCCTAATAGCACTTCTGAGTGGTTTGTTCCTTACAATCTAGATTTCCTGGTAAGAAATGGGCTTATTTTGGTGAATTTTAAGAAGTTTATGGAACTTATCTCTATATGGTATCATTAGTGTGATTCTGCTTATCTCTGTCTCTGTGCATGTCATCATGCTTACACTACAGGCTAATTTCCTTATGCTCTGTCTTCCTTTACATCCTAGCTCCTGGATACTTACTTGGTTTTCTCAGTTTCTCTCTATAGACTATCTGCTTTAGCTCTGGCTACTGTCCATAATGTCTAATTGTCATTAAATTGAGAATCTGATTTCTTGTGAGTGGTTAAGTTTCCGAGACTTGTATGAGTAACAGTTGCTATTTGTGAAGTTTAGGACACTTTTCCCTATTGATTATTGTGTGTAGCTCTGTCTTTTCCTATATATAATTCAATATTGATTTGGCTTAACCCAGTCTAGCTCCTATAAGTATATCCAGCTCATTTAATTGCTCTAAAAGTGGAAGGCAACCCAGTCATGGAGTATTCAGAAGGTCTCATACGTAACTTGTGGAATTTGACACAGTCTCACAGAGACCGGGCAATTCTATTTTCCTTAATGTCTTTATTCTCTCCTGCCTGCTAACTGACTTCCTCATCCTTTATGTATTCTATTGCCCATAGTTTCTGTTTTTTTTTTTTTTTTTAAACTCCTAATTCTCCTGCCTAATAAATTGACCTTACTTAAATCTTTTTTAATTTTCTTACATAGGCCGTGATATGTGCTTGCATTGGATATCCACTTGTCTTCAGCTGCTGAGTTTCTTTTTTGGAACCGGAGATCAAACTCACAACTGCGTGCTTGTGCTGAGCTAAATCCCAGCCCCGAGTTTCTGTTCCTCTGTTTTTCCCAATTTTCAGTTGACTATAATTTTCTTATCTCGTCCTTGTTTGGCGAGATCTTTTATGTCATTATAAGTCATAGACTGTCTTTTTCCAGATTTTCAGTTGACTATAATTTTCTTTTTTTACTCTTTTTTTTTTTTTTTTTTATCGGTACCCAGGATCGAACTCATGACCACCTGCTTGCAAGGCAAGTGCTTATGTCACTGAGCTAAATCACCAGCCCCAGCTATAATTTTCTTATCTCATCCTTGTTTGTGGACATCTTTCATGTCATGATAAGTCATAGACTGTGTAGTAATATGAATGCCTTAGGTCTGATCCTTAGGTTTTGTCCTTACCTTTGGTCTGATCAGCTGTGGGTTTGGTGGATGAATAGTTGATCAATAGAATACTGCCTTAGCCAGGCTTGTTGACACTGACATTTGTTTATTTACTTCTGTCAAGTTTAACTCTCTAAAGCACTTAATGCAGCAGCTACCAAGTCTCTTAAAGATTCATCTTCTAGTAGGTATAAGTTTTAAGTTCCATGATGTTATGGACAAGTTTACACATCTTCAGGACAAGGAGATGCTCTGTAATTCTGTAACCAATTTTCTAAACTGTTTCTTGTGAGGGAGCTGTTCCATTTCCTACTATTCCTTACATGCTTTGCTTGCTTGAAGTAAATTCTCTCGTGAGCTCATCAATTGGCAGGTTATTGGCAGTCTACCTATAGGGAGATAATGGTGACTGGTATAGGGGGACTTTAGTATAGTTAATCCTTTTATGAATACTAACAGTCCTGAAAAGCTCTAGGAAACTCAGCAGCAGGAGATGTTCCATCTTCACATTAGGGTTACACATTTGTTCAATTTAGCTGGTGTGTTTCTTTCTTCATCTGTTACGTCTTGAATTTCTCCTCTTCGGTATTGGTCTTTCCATCCACTTTTTTCTCTACTCTATATTTTTTATCCACTTTCTTAAGACTTCCTCATAAGTTTTGCTTTTTTATTACCCTCATGACCTCACTTCTGTGTTGTGTGCTGGCAGGCTGCAAATCCTTTCAGTTTCAGTTCCTTTCAGTTCCTACTCCTAATTTTTGAGAACACAATTTACTAAGCCTGACCTACTAGTACATTTAAAAACAATAGAGCCGTTTAATTCTAAACAGGACCCTACAGTTTTTCATGCTTCCGTTGTTCTAAAAGTGGCAGAAAATAAGCCAGGTATGGTGGTGTACACCTGTAATCCCAGCGCTTGGGATGCTGAGGCATGAGGATTGTTGCAAGTTTAAGACCAGCCTGGGCTACAAAGTGAGCTCAATACCAGCCTGAACTGTATAGCAAGACCCTGTCTCAAAAAGACCAAAAAAAAAAAAAAAAGTAGTAGAAAATGAAGTAACAAAAGCTCAGGAGATGGGTATTGGGTCTCCCAGGCCATGATGGCAAACCTTTTAGAGCTTTCAAAGATAGAAACAGCCTACTGTATAACATGAGGATACTTAGAGGCTTGCCATCACTATCGTAGATTGATCTTTGATCATCTTTGCCCTGCTCCCACATTGTTGCATGTTTCTAAATACATATATATGATTAAGACCAGAGTGAACTGTGGGACATATATGAGTTTTGAGAGCCTCTATGATGACTTGCCATCCTGTCAATCAATCATTCTTGTCAGTTGTACCTAGACATTCAGTGAGAGGTACCTAAGTGGAGGAATTTGGCCTTTAAATTCTGGAAACCTGATTTATTCATCCTTTTTGTTTTTATTGTTGCTGTTGCTAGTTTTGTGTGCTTTGACTTATGTACAATGCTTTTCTATAACTGCAGCACCTGTTTTTGTCTGCTGTAATAGTGGAATGAACCTTCCCTGAGTACGAACAACTCCTCACGATCTATAGTAAACAGAGCTGCTTACTGTGTACTTTACTACAGTACAGACTGTGCACTGGCAATTCTTTTCTTATCATACACAAGAACCCTGACTACTGTTGGCCTATTCTACCAGCACTATCCCAATTTTGTTACTTACATATAAGAAATAACAGTTGGTAGATCTTCACTTTCGTATCCTATAGTTAATAAAATCATTGTACTCAATTCTCTGCTTTTACTCTGTTTTTTACAGCTTCTAATGTAGCCATTAACAACTGACTTCTCTATCATTTATTTCAGGAGTTCCAATTATGAATACCTGAGGGACCCAGATGGGGTAAAAGTGTAGATGGTTCTCTTCTTTTTTCTTGAAATGCTATTTTTTGTTTTTATTTTGTTGCTCCACCTTTTTTTGCTTATCTACCTCTTTTATAGAGACATTAGAAGAGATTTCTCTTTTTTAAAATTTATTTTTAAATTTTTGATAGTACATTCTTACAGTACATAATGAAGTACATTAATCATGAGAACTTGGTACGTATATATAACATCTTAATTGAGATTTTTATAAAACATAAAGAGTACAGTTGTGTTGTTCAAGGACAAGTGTGATGCTTCTAAGAAA